GCCTGCAGCGTGAACACACTACATGAACACACAACATGAACACACTACATGAACACACAACATGAACACACAACATGAACACACTACATGAACACACAACATGAACACATAACATGAACACACAACATGAACACACTACATGAACACACAACATGAACACATAACATGAACACACAACATGAACACTACATGAACACACTACATGAACACACACACTCCAACACCGGCAGAGAAACGCAGCAAGCCATCAGGAAAAGACTCATTTTACCAAGGAGCATTAGCATTAGCATTAGCATTAGCATCTCCTAAAAGTTGAACCTCCCTCAAGCTGTGAACAGGCAGAGTAAGAAACTGGAGTTTAGTTTTCATTTCTGTTTCTGCTCTGGCGATTTGCTCCTGCTTTTCTCATGTTGCATTTATTATTTTAAGGTATAAATACCTTTTTAGCTTGTTATCCACAGTTCATATTGTTTAGTGGGTCATCAAAGCCTCTGAATCTCAGATCCTTTTAAATTAGGATGAACTTTCCTGCTGCTGGTTTTGGTCCGAGGAGGAATGGTGTCATGTTCTGACCCAGTTCTACTGGCTAATTCAAAATCACTGCAATTACTTCATTCAATTAAAAAAAGAATCGGACGAAAGAGAACAAAGTCCGCTCTCTTTAGAAACAAATGAGGAGAAAATATGTAGGTAATTCATAAGAATCTCCACTTTGTGCATCACTGTGTTCCTGCTGAGTCGGGATAAATGAAGGTCAACTCATTGTGAAAATCTTCTGCTAATATTTAACAGTTCTGAGAATTGTTGCAGAAACAAAACTCTGGAGCTGCACATAAAAGCTTTAAATGAGCCGTGTAATCTGTAATTTATTCCAAACCGCTGAAATATTTAGTCTGCACAACACAGAGACTTGATCTGAACAAAAACAGGAAGTTAAATGGCTGCATAAATATCCTGCCTGGTCAGAAAAACTCAGAAAACACTGAAAACATTGAAAACACTGAAAACACTGAAAAACATTGAAAACATTGAAAACACAGAAAACATTGAAAACATTGAAAACACAGAAAACATTGAAAACACAGAAAAACTCCTTCAGGACTTCAGAAAATGTTTCCTCAGGTTCTGTTTCATCTCCACACGTTTGATTTTCTGAACTTTTTAAAATAATTTCAATGTTTTCAGACCAAAGTTACTTTCAGTTTTAGATAAACACTCGTAATAAAACTACACTGGTTTTTAACATGTATACTTTATAACATACTGTGGTTCTATTATGCATCTTTTGAATAAATATTAATTTTACTTCATGCTAATAACTCTGAATTCTAGGCTTAGGGTTTATTTTTCTCTAGATAAATATAAAACCATATCCGGGATCAAATGGGTTATTATTGGAAAAAAGGATCATTTGAAAAACTGAAGTGAACAAATCAGTGGCATGTAAATATATTCATATAAAATGTTGCCATTTTAATAAATGAGAGGATTATGAAAGTTCATTTGTGCCAGAAGTTCATTAAATAAACTAGTTTCACACATGCAGATGTTTTGAAACTTATTTGGTAATTGTCATGAAATGGTGTTTGCGGTGGTCAGGCAGACGCTGGAGACCCAGGTAAGTGAACGGTGGTGTAATTTAATAACAAAATAGTCCACAAAAACACAGTCAATAAACGGAGTCCGCGGCCAGGCAGCGCGGCTGAGCGGAAGCCAGGGCTCACACCGGCAGCAACTGGTCTTAAGGGCGGCACAAAACAAACGAGCAACGACAATCTGACAAGGACCCGACGAGGAACAGAGGACACAGGAGGGACTAAATACACTGGGTAATCAGGGGAACGAGACACACCTGGGAACAATCAAGGGGAAGACAGGACAACGAGGAGACTCAGGACACAGAAACAGAATAAAACACAGAACCTGACAGTAATTATGATGAGTTTCTGCTTCAACACATGAAAACAATCAGAAATCCACAAATCCTAATGAAAATTATGCTTAAAGGTTATTATTTTCAAAATGTAAGTTTAATCTGATAACATCAAAACATGTGCTCTAATTTTAAATATTGTTCATCCTTTGTCCATTTGCTTTATCTGCTGTTTTATTTATGTTTTAGAAACATAAATAAATTCAGTCCCAGAAACATGAAATCAATTAAAAAGGTTTCAGCAGGTGAACGTCAGAAACCTGCAGATTAGTTTCTGTCCTGATGAATGCAAATCCAATTTAGCCTCTTTGCCTGAATGTGGGAGCAGAAGCTGCAGAGCGAGTCGAGCCGCACGACAAATGCACAAACGCATCATCATAATCTCAGATTCAAAGTCTAATATCTGCTGAAGTTTTTATCAGAAATATCCCATAAATCCAGAGGATGTTGAGATCAGCAGCAGAACCTTTTCATTCAAATCTGATAATGAAACTGATTCCCTTCATTTATTTGGTAGGAACAATGAACATTAATTAATATTTAGTTAAAACATAAATATTAATGAGTATAAATGATTTTGTGCAGTGAAAATCACTAAACTGCACAACTTTTCTCAAATAATACCAAAAATTCAAACAGTAAATGCAAGACAAGGAAACGACACAATGATAAAATCATAAGAAGAGATTTAGGAAAATGCAGCGGTGCGTTCAGGTGACGTCGTTCTTCTGGCTGCTTCTGAAAGCGTCTCATCAGTTTGTGGGACAGGATTTCATGTCGGCGTCAGAACAAAACCTCAAACTCCCACAGAACAACAGGAAGTCTTAATAAACCTGGCAGGTTTATTAATGCCTGCTTATTAAACCTGTCAGTTGTTCAGTAAACAGATTAAAATGCTTCATTTTTCTGACTGCAGCTGATGATTCACAGCAACGCTCGGCTTGAGAGGATGAAACTGATCTTTTCTTGGAGTCACCCTGAAGACTCTGGTAATTTTGCATCAGTCACTCCTCATTGACTTTGCACTAAAAGCCAGCAGGATAATTGGGCCATTACAGGAAAACATGGACGTCTCTTTACTGAAGGGAGGCTGCAGGATGAACTCATCAGCCGCTACGTGGTTTCACTGTGAGGAGGATCGCTGCCCGTTATTCACGTTCTTCCCTCTGAATGTTTTACTGGATATTTGCTCTACAGCTGGAAACATTTAGTCGCTCCACTAGATAAAAACTTAAAACCTGGAAATTATTCTAATGTGAGACAATGATCTCCTGCATCACTTTTCATTTATTTGACCTTTTATCTCTGAAATGTTTCATATTACAGAAATCCAAAGACAACCTGAGGAATTTCTAAACGTCCAAATGAGGAACAGATGACTGCAGTGTGAAAGCAGCAAGCAAAGAAAAACAGAAAATAAATCTAAGATAATAAATATATAACAAGACAAGAATAATAATGAAACTAGAATCAAGACATCAAAACATCTGATAAAATCAACATGTGGTGCAAAATCTAGAGTCACAGATCTAGAGTCACAGACCTAGAGTCACAGATATAGATCTAGTCACAGATCTAGATCTAGAGTCACAGATCTAGAGTCATAGATCTAGAGTCATAGATCTAGGGTCACAGACCTAGAGTCACAGATATAGATCTAGTCACAGATCTAGATCTAGAGTCACAGATCTAGATCTAGAGTCACAGATCTAGAGTCACAGATCTAGATCTAGTCACAGATCTAGATCTAGAGTCACAGATCTAGAGTCATAGATGTAGAGTCACAGATCTAGAGTCATAGATCTAGAGTCACAGATCTAGAGTCATAGATCTAGAGTCACAGATCTAGAGTCATAGATCTAGAGTCACAGATCTAGAGTCATAGATCTAGGGGCCCTGTGGGGGGTCCCCTGTGGGGCCCTGAATTATTCACGCTGCACGAATCCAACAAAATGAATCTGTTTTATTTGCAGACAACAAAAATGTCTGCAGCCTGTAAATATGCAAAAGATATTTTCAGACTGGTGGCAATAAAACCAGCAGAGAAACGATGTGAAGATCCTCAAACTGTGAAAATATTTAGTTTTTCTGCCTGTGGAGAGAAACTGAAATGCAGGATGAGGAGATATCACCCAGATGAAAGAACTGAAGCAGAGAATATTTTGAATAGAAGTTTAAAACCAGACAAACGACTGCAGACGGATCCACGACGAGTTTGGTTTTTATCTATTCTTGTTTCTTTCCCATTGCAGATACTGGAGGAAAATCTGCAAACTTAGAGCAAAAATGAATCATTCGGATTTTTGAGCATGAGAGAGAAAACAAGGAGTTCAGTTTCCAAAGTCATATTTTCACCTGGTTATTCAGTCATTCATAAATGTCAAGCTAAATATTTGGCTTGCTACTAAATATTTAGCTAATGTGTAAATTCAGTCGCCGATAACTGGAAGTGGACTACCAAAATAAAAGCTTAATAAACTCCTGCTGTCGAATCGCTTCATGTTTCGTCTTCATCGTCTTTTCTTGTCCAACATTCAGCTGAAAACCAGGAAAAAAGGTTTGAAAGACAATCCAGATGTTTAGCAACAGATGAGTCCAGATAAAGCTTTATTTTGATAGTCCACTAACATGTGAATGTGCATCTTAAACCAATAAATAAATATTTCCTTTACCAATAATATTTATTCAACTTTGACATTTTGTAGATGAGTTAATAATATTTATTGTAAAGCTTCTATAAAGAGCAAGAACCTCCGAAATATGAAGATTATGAAGAATAATCTTCCATGTTTTTGTTTTCTGATTGTCTTAATAACTCAGATTATTGCTGTTAATTCAGAGATTAACTTTACAAAGAGATTTTTCTGTTTCAGTCTTTTATTTTCCAGGCTTGTTTGAAGCAAAGTAATAAACTAAACTTCTCCCTGTGGTCAGTGTGAAAAACGGTTTGATCTGATAGCCCAGAAACACACACACACACACACACACACACACACACACACACACACACACACACACACACTGCTGTCTGTTGATCCTCTCCTGTATCTCTGCTGGTTTTCTTCTCTTATCTGGTTGATCTGCAGCAACAGGGTCAGATACCTGTTATCTGGTCCAATCGGACCCAAACGGACCCAAAAGGATCCAAACAGACCTGCCTGCACTCCGAGAGGGGACGGGGCGGGATGCTGTAAATGAGATGGAGGCAGGTATTATCCATTTCAGAGACGTATGGAGGTCCAAGGACAGCGCCAGCAGGGTAAACAATGCTTACAGGAGGCGTGATGATGTGGGCAGAGTGAGGGATGGCGGCGGCTGCAGCAGGCTGCTGCAGGCGGCTGCTGCAGGCAGCCGGCGTTAATGATGGAACTGCTTCTGTTAGGATTCAAGTTGGTGTGTGCTCCTCGGAATAGACAATCTTCGTGGGAGCGTTCCGGCAGGCTGACGCACCTGAAGCGGATTTCTGAAATCGGCTGCAGGATTCTTAAGAAGCGGTGGAGCAGCCATTCATCGCTCGATGGTCCCACTTGTTGGTCAGAGTCAATCCCAAGGTTTTGCCAAGCTTCACGTTGACCAAGGACTAAGTTAATCTTTGTATTGTTTTTCTCAGATTTTGGATGCTCTGCCTGGATCCAGCTAGGAACCACGCCCACCCGAACACTGACACCGATCGCCCTCCGGACTAAACGCTCTCGTCTGCCGCCTGAGCCCGCAACCTTCTCGGAGCCTTTGCACCAACGGATCCTACCTCCTCCTCGGCAATCCTCCATCAGATGATCTGTAAGCCTTCCCTCCACTTCCCTGTCAAGATCCTCTCACTCCCGCTCCTACTAACCTCTCCCCTCTCCAAGCAGTACCTGAGCCGCCCAGCCGCTCCGATCCCAGAGGACAACTTAGGCTCAACATATTCAATAATAACTGTAACTAAATCTTTGAATCAAAACCTTCCGGTCTGATGTCTAAACCTGCATGTGGGTAAAGAAACTCAAATCCAACATGACAGCTTCATGAACAATGCGGCTCCTGGTGGCTTTGTTGGCTCACAGCTTCTGCTTTTTCTGACTCTGCTGCTCCAAGAAAAGAAAAACTAGTTTTGGTTTTAACTCCAGCTAAACTCTGTGTGTGTCTGAATCGGCTGCTTCCTGGATTTATATCCTGATAGAAACTGCTGCCATCATGTTTCACTGACAATGAGGCTAAAATCATCAGATCCGCTTTTCTAACTGGACGGATGTTCAGGAAAATCCATCCTAATCGTTCAGATGAATGTTGGTTGGACAGAAACGTCTCCGTTTTCTACCAAAACCAGAACCAGAACCGGCTGTGCGGGACGAACACGGCTAACACGCCTGAGCAGGTTGATGTGAAATAAGACACACGAGATTTTACATGTTAAATTTTCAAAATAAAACTGATATGTGTTTGGTTTGTTGGGTTTCATTCTGATCTCTGTTTTAATGAATTTGCTGCTGATGTTTGTTGGTCCAACGAGTTGAAGATGAGGGAAAATGTCTGAAACGAGACAAACTGTCTGCAAAGTAAAAGCTTTGGGATCAATGCTGCTGGTAATTTGGCTCATTTTGTCCTTTGTCCAGTAAAGTGAGGCGTTGAGCCGAGCGGTCAGAGCCACATCGTTAACAGCCTGACCTCAAACCGCCGTTTCAGCGGATCGCCCAGAGACTGCAGCTCATGAGGATCTGAGTCTTTAATCAGACCATTGATCCCTCGCCTCTCTGCCGCTAATGGACATTGAAGAAGACATTGATGGGCTCTAAATGAAAGCGGTTGTCTCCTAAGGCGGCATTTCAAACTTCCTCTGCAGCCGGGCTGCAATGTGGGACTTTCACCCTCAGGGATTTCAGCAGGTTCCTTCTGGATCTGCTTCCTGCAGGCCGGAGCTCCGTTCTCACCGGATGAGCTCCTGGTTTATGGATCTTTACTCAGAAATGTGTTGACACTCTGCGACTTTTCCTGAATCTGTGATCACAGAGAACCTTAATGTCTCACAGCTTAGCATTAGCTGTGAGTCCTTTGGTTTGATCTCTTTTTAAATTTACCCTCAGAATAGCTGGTAGCTACAGTAGGTAGCTATACCTGCCCTGCAGATGTTCACTCCTAAAGCAGATGTTTGGTTTCCCAGCATGCTGCGCTGAACCCAAACCATTTGTGCAACGTTTTGATGAGGGGAGAAGATGGCGATCGTAACCGTCAAGGTCGGCTGATTTTTCAGTAACTAAGATTAGTAAGATGCAATCAGGTTTGGCATTAATTAATGCGTCGAATTAATGATGAAGAAAAATCCCTTCCATCATGTAGCCTAGCATAATAAACCGGTTAGCATAGAGGTTTATGTTTTTACTGGCCTGTAAAAAACATTCATGGTCAATGTTCGTAAACAATTAAGAAAAATGCACAGGATGCAGAACCAGAACTTGGTTCCGAGTTTCTTCACCCACATGCAAGAACACAACCAGATATGGCAAGCAGTGAACAATAATAGCATCCAGGGGAAAAGGATGTGGGAATGAATTCTGGAACTGATGACCGGATCGTCCTGCTGTCATCGAGAGGCAACAGCTTAGGAAGAGTGGATGCAGGATCTTTCCAGGACAAACAGATTGCCTGGAGTGGATGAGTGTGGTTGCTTGCAGAGCGCTGGAGAAGAGGGCTTTGTTGGACAGGAAGGTGTAGCAGTATGAGCGGAGTCCGACTCGGTCCAGTTGTAACGGGACAGACGGGTTCACCAAGGTGAGCAAAACACTCAGGCGACGAGACGTCGTTCCGCCGCTGCTATACGCCCCGACCTGCCTTCCAAATGAGCTGCAGGTGCGTCAACGGCACCGCATGACCCCAGGGCTCTGTGTCCAGGCGGCATCTGATGGATGCTGCGGGACGTAAAACCAACAACAACAAGAAAAAAAGAAACAAAAGAAAACACCCTGACAGAGAAAATGCTGTAGTATGCATGCCAGGACCACTCGATGGCGCCATAGCGCCGCACAGAACAACTAAACCACGACGCCATTTTTGTTATTCATGGGAATGAGATGAATATGAGAGACAGATGGAGGATTGTTGTTTAAATAAAAGAAACATGAAACCAAAGTTTTCAAAACGACGATTCCTGCAAGACGCAGAAACCAACCGGATGAAAGACAAACCAACATTCAGTCACCTGGAACCGTCCATGTTTGGACATCAGGTGTGAGTTCAGGAGGCAGAAGCTGCCGGCAGCTTAGTACTGACCCGGTACTGAGCTAGCGGGTCAGAACTCCGTCCGCCAGCATCAGCCTGAAGGTTTAGCAGCGATGAATTCATCAGATTAACATCTAGGCTTCAGCTGAACGAGGCGTGAAAACCCAGCGCAGTTCTGGAGCAGGAGTTCTGGAGTTCTGGAGCAAGTTCTGGAGTTCTGGACCAGGAGTTCTGGAGCAGGAGTTCTTGAGTTCTGGAGCATTTTGTGACTCGGGTCACCAGGTTTTGTCCACATCGTCAGGAATCAGTTCATTTCTCCTGGAATGGAGATAATTATGAATCATGAGCCTAAAATTAGATCTGATGTTTTATTCTCCATGTTTAGTGACATAAAACTTGGTTCTCATCAGTTTCATGTTTCTAATGAGTTTCGTTCACTGTTAGTGGACCAGAACCAGAACCAGAACCGCTGTCATATTTCTCCTTCTGATCTCAGAACAGAAAATGTTTCTTTAATATCGAGACTCGGTGAAACGATTCGCCTGATGGGACAGAACCAGAACAAAATGTACTCCTGAATGAATTTAATGGATTTCTCTGTTCTTCTCAATATTTGATTTAATAATTATGTTTACTTTGCACCCATTGATTTAAAGAAGCTGCTAATCTGATCAATCAAATGTCAGCTGAGGATCGGAGCGACGTTCAGAGGCCTGAAGTCCCGGTGCAGCTCAGCTTCACTGCATGAAAACCTGAGAAACTAAAGACTTTTAGGACAGAAACAAACATCAGCCAGGCGACGGAAAGGTTGACAGATCTGATGAAACATGAGCAAAGAGAAAATGGGTCGGTCCGACCCGTTAGCAGGACGAACATCAGCCGCAGGAACCAGAACAAAAACCCAGAAACCATCAGCAGAAATGATCAGATTCAAAGAAAAACGCTGCAAATAAAATGGAAAAGCAACTCATGAGAAATGAAGATCAACCTCCAGTAAAGACTGGCAGCAAATATGAAGACAGAACCAGAACCAGAACCAGAACCAGAACCAGAACAGAACCAGAGTTAAAGAATTAGTCTTAAATATCTAAATATTTCAAACTGAATAATTAGATATGGAAAGCAAAGAGGGACAAATCTAAAAGTGGCAAAACCAAAGTTAATGACTGAACCAGGATGTGGAACATAGAGAAGCAACGTTCAGCTTCTATGCAGCAGAAATCTGGAATAAACTTCCAGAAAACTACAAAACAGCAGAAACACTGAGTTCATTGAACTAAAAATGATTCATAACTAGTGAATGAATGCTGGTCTGAATATTACTTTTCTTAAAAACTTCAAAAATATCAAAACTCAGTAACGAATGATTTTGATTTCTTATTTCCTGGTGACTTTATTTCTGTCTTTGGTTCATCTGGTCTGCAGCACATGAACCAGGAGGGTTCTGATGGTTCTGATGGTTCTACTGGTTCTGATGGTTCTGATGGTTCTACTGGTTCTGATGGTTCTGATGGTTCTACTGGTTCTGATGGTTCTGATGGTTCTGATGGTTCTGCTGGTTCTGCTGGTTCTACTGGTTCTGATGGTCTCGGATGTGAAGGAACCATTTTGTGTCAATCGGATATTTAGGAACAAAAGCAGCAGCATGATTTCTAATTCCTCCATCAACCTCCGTGTTTCAGTTTGCGCGGAGCGTCAGCGAGGCGAGCGCCGCTCCATCGATGAGCTTCGGCGCGGCAGCAGGTCCATCCATCGCCTCGCTGCAGATTCAAGTCGTGTCGGATCGATGGGGCAGATTTACTGTCGACAGGCTGTGATGGAGGAGGAATCGTAAAACTGCAGGAGATGTGGCAGCTGGAAACACGGAGCGACGCTTTCACACAGGAAGTCACTGCAGATCGGGTCGATCATCGTTCTTATCTCAGTATTTGGCTGAGTTAGCAGGAGGACGCGTGTTTTGCCACACCTTATTATTAGCTCTGTGATATCTGCATGGCCAGTCATATCGTTTGGATATGACAATCAGTCATTATGTAGAAAACCTCATGAAACACGTGACCATCCCATATCTACTCACTGCAGGCAGCCATTTTCTGTCAGGGGACGTCTGGAGGCCTGATGGGTCAGAAAGCAGCAGCAGCCAACAACCGGCTGACAGACTGGTGCATGTGAACGAGTGAGGAGTCAGATTTGAGCAAAGCAGATTCATTATGAATCATCTTTGCAGTCAGTACTGTGTGCAAAAACTCAGAGTTTTGCTGTGTTGGACATTCACAGGCCTGAAGGTCGAACCTCTTACTGCAGGTTCACTGCATTTGCATATTAGCTTCATGCTTAGCTCTGAGCTAGCGGAATATGCAAACCAAACATTTAGATAACTATTTAGCTTTCTAGTTAAATGTTCAGTTTGAGGTTTTAAATAAAGCCACATTTTTCTCTTGCCAGGCTGAAAACCAGAATTATTGCTGTTAATTTCTGACTATTTAACCAGAAACTGTTAACAGAGAATCGTTTCTTCCATGTCTGCCTGTTCCTGGACTGGATTTGGTTGAGTTAAATAAATAGTTCAGATGCTTTGAGAGGCAGATGGGGTTAGAGGTCAGAGGTCAGGGTATGCCAGCTATCAACATTCAAATCTGACCCGTGGAAAATGACAGGCTGTACCAGAAACCAGTAAAAACTGGAGAAGCCGTTTTTACCTGGCAGAATAAAGCAGAATGACCCTTTAATTTTATTCATCTGGTATGATTTAACAAAGTGAAGCTGAGGTCAAAGGTTCACAGCTGGAGGCGAGACCATGGTTCTAACGACTAAAGCGAAACATTTCCTTTAATATTCAACAGAATCTGCAGTATTAATACAACAATATTGATGA